AATTGATGAAACCTCTGGTTTTCTTAAAATGACCTTTTAGTCAACATCGGACATAAAATAAAATTTCTATTTCGGCTACATCTGTTTATTAAAACTTTCGCGGTTCAATTACTATCCTTTCAATGAAAAAGTCGCTCAGATGCGTAGCTGGAGTCTAAGACATGCTTTAGCATAGGAAATTGCACGAATATATTCCAACGTCCATTTCGCTCAAATTTACTGATATTTTACTTGATATAATTACGTAAGCACAATTTCTGCACAGGAAAAGGACATTTTATTGAAGGAAATGGATGAGCGAATAAAATTCGCAACGTTGAAGTCGTCCAGAAATTTTCTCATCAGATTCCGTTTTCCGATTTCATGAGATAGGTCACCCACTGTATGCGGGGTTTGAATCTCAAGTGATCCACACTTGGGGTTGGTTACGAAATCGCCTTCCCTCTTCCGCCAAGCAATTGTCGTGGAAGGGCCTGTCCCGTTGGGCTCTGCCGCGTGATCTAGAGTTGAATAGCATTTACCGACAAAGACAAGGGAGACTGGAATGGCCATTTCTGGCTTATTAGCCGTCGTCAGCCAGCCATACCCAAGCCCGAAGTGTGGAACACCCGAGACTCGAACTCGCGACCTGTTAGTTAGAAGTCAACGCCTCTAACCACTGAGCCACGAGTCGGTTGCCCTGTCGGTTTTCGATCTGGAATATACAATTTTAGGGGACCCTCACCAATCGTTATTACGGAATTCAGTCGTGTCCATGTGCCTTACGGGCTCTTTCTCGAGCCCAGGCAGCAGCCTCACAGCGGCGCATGATGTATAGGTAGAATGGCATTTACCGACAAAGACAAGGGGGACTGGAATGGCCATTTCCGGCTTATTAGCCGTCGTCAGCCAGTCATACTCAACCCCGAAGTGTGGAACACACAGCCTTCCTCGTCTTTGTCGGTAAATACCATTCCGTTTATATTATTATTATATTATATGTTATTATATATGTATATATAGACAGAATGACATTGCCGACAGTCACTTGGAGACTGGAATGGCCATTTTCGGTTTCTTAGTCGTCACCAACCGGTCATACCTAGCCTCAGATCCTGCATTCCTGAAGCCTGAACCCCCTACCTGTTGTTTGATAGTCCAACACCCTAACCATTGAGCCGCGGGCTCGTTGCCCATGCGGATGCGACTAGGCATATTAACGGTGGTAGAGGGGCATCGACCGATTGCGCTACGGGACATACACGCCGCATTGTGCCTTGGGGCTCAGTCTCGAGTTCCTCATGCATGCGTGTACACCGTCGGAAATTGGTTCATGGATCTGGTTACGGGACCCGCTCATCCGGTTGTTTTTTAGGTTTCAATATAGAATCCTACAATATCGGAACTATTTGCGCAACATGAGACTCATACTGAGCATCAGCCGTTTTTTTGCAGTCAGGGCTTATTGCAAGATCCGGCGAAGTCGACCCTGATTTCGCCTTCCGTTCACGCACTCCGGTGTACTGTCTAGGCCTAACGGATATACCGAGACTGGGTGCAGTGGCCGAATTGGGGTTAAAGCCTTCGTCCACCCCGTCACATGCAATCTGGCACCGGTCTGCGCATTGACAAACCACGTGTAAACACGCAAGTGCGGTGGGTGCGCGTCCATGGACGACCCGTTGCCCCCCAAGGCGCCTCCAAAAAATCCCGCCAGATGGCAGTTACCTGTTTTTTTTGGTTGTTCACACGCAAACGCGTGTGACCGAATAGGCCTAAGGTTGTTTACGTGTCGTCGCAAAGCAAACGGAGGCGGGGGGGGGTGCTGGAGGTTACCGGAATGATGAACGTATCAGTGTAAGCGCATACGACCGTCCGAACGACGACGTCGAACGCGTGGACTCGGCACTGGTGACTTGCGGCTGAAGTAATTTTGATGGACAGACTTGCACCGCATCTGTCACGCTAGGCTCCGATGGCCAACTGATGTCAAGACAATAGGAGATGGGTTCGGAGACAGAGGCAGACAATAGTAAACAGGCGTCACGCGTGCACATGCCATCGGGTTTCCCCCACATGCCTTCGCAGAGGACGCTTTGGATCTCACTTGCGTGAGAGTGCCAGATAGGTCACATTAGGAAGGAGTCCTTGAGCCTTACTCTCAATCATCCGGCCAGTCAGCATGAGGACCGAGTTATATCGTCTGCGGGCAGCCTTCAAAGCCGCGTTTTTTTAGTGTGTCGCGATATTTTAAGCACTTGGGTACGATTCCTCCCCTCTGTGTTTGAAGTCTTGACACTTGTGTTTCGGGTCCAAGTCGTGGACGTGGCACGCGCAGACGGGCTCACGTGCTCTGTCATCCATTGTGCCATTCTCCACACCAGACATCTGACTGGCTCTGACGGTGGCTGGGGCCTGGGAATAAGAATACAGAGTGAGATCGATGGCTCAGCACATTTTCCTCATGATAAACAATCTGACACGTTTGAGGCTAAACCAATGAGCCAAAAGCCGGGATGATTCGAACTTCACAGTCAGTTCATTGTGTGTTTTTGTGGGGTGGCAAACTGGAGGACTGAGAATCAGACTGCAATGGCCTTGTGGCCTTTATGGCGCTTCCCCTCCGTGAGATCCAGGCCGCGTGTGGTTGCACGTCTAGGGGCGACTCCGGCCGCTCCAGCCACCTGCGCCCTCTCACACCTCCGGTTCCGACTATGCCTTGACACAGAGGTCAGATGAGGAGGAGCGTGTGCGGTAGATGCTGCGCAAGCGCATAATTCCCCGTGCCTGCTCTCACCCTACTGTGGATCACACGGTAGACCCGGTCGGTCACGGCGTATGTTTGCCAACAAAACGAGCTACGCGGTAGATGCGCTGGCCCACATTGGATTCTGGCAGGCGTTATCGGAATGCACACCCACAACGAAACGCCAACATTCGGGGTGTGGTGGTAGGCCCAGTTGCCGTCTCACATCGCGTCCGTTGTGATCCCTGTCGCTCCCCACGGTTGTTATTGGCCAAAATGCCGGTCAAGTGTTTCGTTGGGGACTTGGGGGTGCAGTGGTACGCCTAGGTGCGGGTCTGGGCGCCCCAACCACCTGCGTACTCTCCTGCCTCCGGTCTTGACAACGGGCCCAGGGGGGGGAGAGTGCGTTAGATACAGCGCAAGTCTGCTTCCACTAAAAACTAATTCGTGCGCAAGCCGCCATCACTGCTCTCAGCCTGCTGTGGTGCACACGGTGGGCATCGTTGGTCACCATGGTATTTTGTGCTTTTCTAAAAAACGGCATTGGTACCAACACAACACTGCATTTAGTACGTCGTATATGTTTTAACTTGTCTAATAGCTGTACTTAACTAACCTAGATATTGGACCAGCAATTGATGTTGGTTTGCTAGTGATCGGCAATCATTCATAAATTTCGACAGCTTTCATGAGTTAGGTCACGCATTTTCAGAACACAGACCAATAACACATGCTGAGAGAACACACTCATCGGTTGTTCAAAAATTAAAAAAACCTCCTAATTATCTGCAAAACTACTGTCAAGGTGCATCTCATATACATGCATTTTCGTCCGACTTACTTCACTTCGCAATGACATTGGAAGTCCAAAGTCTGGCCCGTTTGTTAAATGTAAGCATTTTGCCAGTAAACATTGCTGAGAAATGGGATCCTGAAGTGAATACGCGGAACATAAATGCATTCGGTTCCGTTATCAGTTCGTTTACTGACATTGTATATATTCCGTAGTGGCGTTGAAGGCTTCGATTACGCTCTCGAAGGGCGTTTATAATAACTGTCATTCTCAGTCGGTATGCATTTAAACGCAAATTACAATGCCTTTAGTCAAAATTTGCATGTAGTGTTCAGCTTAAATCAGTTTGCGATTAGCTCTAGAAAACTCTACAACATTACGTGTCTGTCTCCAGGTTCTGGTTTAAATTAACTTAACACCTACGAGATACGTTGCGTGGCCTTTTGGATACTTGTGTTCATCTTGACTGATGGTTATTTGACCTGAACCAGTTAACGCGATAAGCCCAGTAATGCACCTGGGTGATTTTAAGGCCAAAATAATATTCCGTGTTCATGCGAATAAAGCGTTGGCAAATAGAATTGCAAAGGCCATGAGAAGCATCTGACAATACGCATTGCCTAACACATGCTAGGGGACATGAATATTCGAGAGGATTCGTAACTGGCAGCTGATGATGAATTGGGCCACAGTGGCTGACGGAACTAGAACAATAGAAGTGAGTAAGACGCGATCGCGAGGACAAGAGCTTTATGAGCCTGACGTTTCAGATTCCTGCTCGGGAGGTCTCCAAGTATTCACAGATCCGGTTTCTGCACAGATGTTTCGACAATAATGTGTTGCCGAAATGTGTTTCCTACAAGCCCCCGGTTAACATAGATTTGGCGAGACGAGAGGTATTTCAACATGGCAGAAGGATGATCCGTGTCCCCCTCCAAGATTGCCACGCGAGACTTCGCAAGTACCGTCAAAGGATTGACCAAGAAAAGACCAGATACTGTGAGTTCATGGGCGGGATCGGTACAAATCTGCTCCTGCAGAGGATAGCTGAACGAGCCCGCGAACAGAGAATGATACGCGACGCAGCATTGGAGAAAGAATTCCGAAGGCTGCCCAATCTAATGTCGCCCAGAAACGACAAACTGGTGCACAATCTGCCGTCAAAGGAGCTGACGAAGAATCAGATGCAAGTTTTACGACACGAAGCTTCATTTAACAAGACTAACGCCAAACCTGTTAACATTATTGCAGCAGTGGAATCAATCCGTAGTCAGGTTATGGTATCTTTTGATGTTACATCCCCTTTTTATTTCTATTCCCCAGGAACTGGCGATCGAGACAATCGCGCTGCTACTACAAAGCAAATACGATGAAACGGAGAATTGTCTTGGACGCGCCCAAATCCTTCAGCTCCTGAAGCTCTGTCTCAGGACGTAATTCACGTTCGACGGGAAAATCTACGAACAGGTGAGGGGCACACCAATGGGTTCGCCGATTTCGGGATTCATCGCCGAGGCGGTCCTGCAACGGTTAGAGTCGCTAGACTTCCAAAACCACAGACCGAAGTTCTGGGCCTGGTATGTGGATGATACCTTCGTCGTTATCGACCGGGATGAACTGCTGACATTCAAGGAACGTCTGAATGCGGTCTTCCCGGACATACAATTTACGATGGAGGAGGAAGAGAACAACCAGCTGGCCTTCCTGGATGTCCTCGTATGCCGCAAGGATTGTGGTGGACTAAAGGCCAAAGTGTTCAGGAAAGCGACAAATACGATGCAAGTACTGAACTCCAACGGCAACCACCCAATCAGCCACAAACGCAGTTGTGTAAGAACGCTCTATAGGCGTGTCGAAACGCACTGCAGTGAGCCGAAAGAAACAATTGCTAAACTACAATACCTCCGACGGGTCTTGAAAGCCAATGGCTACCAGCTCAACTTCATCAACCGGTGCATACGCAAAGGGACGAAAGGCCCTACCGCACAGGCATAAAATTTTGGTGAGCGCTTCCGTATGTCAAGAAAGTTTCGGAAGCTGTCGGCCGCCTTCCCGCACCACTTGGAGCTGGAGTTGCACACAGACCGGAGGCAACCATCGGGCGTCAGTTAATGAAACCGAAAGACCCACTGCCCGGCAGGAAACGTCTGGAGTGGTTTATCGGATCTGGTGCAGTTGCGGACAAAGCAACTACGTCGGAGAAACCGGAGGACAGCTCCGAACGAGAATGGCCGAACACGCTGCAGCGGTGCGGAGAAATGACGCCAGCTCTCAAGTTGCGGCTTATTCGACGGGTCCCGGGCACATATTCAAATTCGATGAGGCCGAAATTCTCGCAAAAGGTGACAACCGCGTGAGCCGGGAGCTACTGGAATCATGGTTTACTGGCCCCCAGTCCATCAACAAGTGCAACGATCTTCCCACTCCATACTGTGTACTAAAATTTCGCCTAGGCGGAGTGACAAGCCATGAGGGGAGCGCAGAGGTGAACACTTTTCCCAACACTGGGGTCGGTGCGTAAGATGGTCGAGCAATCATCACGCCAACATCCAACGCACGTGATGAAATTGCAGCAATTATCGACTCGAATGTCGGCCATCAAGCAGTGATCACACCAAGTGCGACGATCCCAGATGGGGGGGGGGGGGAGAGCCGTGAAAGTTCATAGGTATGCGGTAGCATGGCTACTGCATCCTATAAATACCGCAGCCCCTTGTGCAGCAACCACCCGTTTCTGCTTTTTTGTCTCTGATGATGGATTCGAGTAGGAATCCGAAACGTCAGGCTAATAAAGCTCTTGTCCCGGCGATCGTGTCCCCTTCTTCAAGGCGTGAATGTCGGTCATCACGCCGCGTGCAACGAACCAGGATGAAGGGGGGGCGTGCATAGTCATAGGTATGCGGTAGCATGGCTACTGCATCCTATAAATACTGCAGCCGCATGTGCAGAAACCACCCTTACCTGATTTTGTCTCCGATGATGGATTCGAGCAGGAATCCGAAACGTCAGGCTAATAAAGCTCTTGTCCCGGCGATCGTGTATTCGTCTTCTTCTTCGAGGAACTAGAACAACCTATCTACCAAAATATCAATGAACTATCTACGTGTGGCAAACGCACGAAGTGGTCACCAATTAATCTGCCGGGATGCGCCCAAATGCCTGGCTGCCACTCGCGTGAGAGGTGCAAATGTAGCGTCTCAAATGACATTCACATCGCTCTCGGAGTCATGTGATCACGACTCCCGAGCGCCGGGACGGGAGTGTATTCAATCCCGAGGACAGCCAATCACAAGCGCCCACAAACTCCACTATCACCCAATAAATCGGCCAGGCTGAAACTGACTAACCCTCACGTGACACTTATTCACTCATGCTCACGTCACCCTAGCGCACGGACGTGCGCGTGCCCACAGCCGGCCCCTCTCTGTGGGCTCTGACAGAACAAACCCCTCCAACTGGTGTCCTTCCCCTAATCCTCTACAGTGGGTCTAGGTCGTGATTATTGTGGCTCTCTGAGAACACTCTCACTGTTTGGACGCCAGACAGGCTCTTCAATACAGTGGCCGGCCCCGATCTCACCTACGTGGCGGTGTCATGAAGACCACATCAAAAAGAATCCCGACCAGTCGCCCTCTGACTGCGCGGACTGAAGCGCACATTGAGTGTCCAAAGGCAGTGACTACAGCGAGGGCGGTCGAGGTGGGTTTTGGAAACAGCTGCTGACGCTGGTCCCTTCATCACACTGCGATAGAGTCACAGGTGGTCGAACAGGCCGGTGCGTTTTTCGAATGCGTCGTGTCGCTAGTGCTGGTAGCATCCCTCGGCAGTATTCCCAATGGCGTTACTGTCGTGTTGGTTCCGAAAATGTCCATCCAGACGAACCCAGGTGTTGGTGGTGACGCGTGACTGTAACGGTCCATTACAGTGGTCATCGCCATGGCCGCTTACTCATGCCACCTTTAGTCCACCTCATCTCCCCTATCCGTCGATGGTCTGAGCTGAGTGAGAATTAGCACCAGCGTCGTGCTATCTCGAGACCAATCGACGTTACACCCGTCGCTGATTGGTTACAGAGTGAACAATGCTCAGGCACACGCCCGAGTTTCGCGCCGGGACTGCATCCTCATTGGCATTCAGTCAGCCGTCTGTGCCTGGTGGGTCGCGTGCACGCTCACTCGCCGCGCTGAAGTTTGTCCGATAATTCTGTCCTTCCAGACCTTTTAATTCGGGAATCTCCCAGTTATCGACCATCGTACCCCGGCATGATCACTAATGCGCACACTTGAAATCCGAACTTCTGGTTGATTGTCGCTTGCGACGTTTGGGCTACTCCTACTCCCATCAGACTGGTGGATTCTTCATTTTCCAACAGTTCGACCGCTGTGATCGGCGATGTCCCCCCTGTGTGCTCTACAGTAGGCACGGTAATTTGCGCGTAAATTAGTTTATAGTGGTGGTGGACTTGCGCAGATTCTACCGCACTCTATTCTGTCTCACACCTGGGTCTAATGTCGGGACATAGTTTATAATGATAGGAGCCTATATGTGAAGAAGAAGACGAAGAAGAAGAAGAGGAAGAAAGAGAAGAAGGAGAAGAAGAAGGAGAAGATGAAGAAGAAGAAGAAGAAGAAGAAGAAGAAGAAAGAGAGGAGGAGGAAGAAGAAGAAAGATGATCAAGCACAGGAAAATTTTGTTTATTGTTCTGAGCTTTTGAACTCGTGCAGGAGCCCATCGTCAGTCGTCAGTCCATCAGCCAATCTATTCATCGATCTGGCACCGGCGTACAGAGCCCTGTGCAGTTGCCTCCAGTTATGCGCAGTCGGTAGAGTATTGGCTTACATGCCCTATAACCGTCGTTTGTTCTGTCGCTGCTACTAGCTCCGACGATGGGCTCCTGCAGAAGTTCAAAAGTTCAGGTGCTTGGTCACCCTTCATCTTCACTTATACATACACCTGCAACTGGAAATTTCGACTTCATTTGTGATATAGGTCTTGCGCAGCGTCTACCGCGCCCTCTCTCTCTCCCGCACCTGGTCCCGCTGCCAAGACAGGGTCTAGAAGACCGCAGTTGGCTGGCACGGTAGATCCTGCACCTAGACGCACGTTCTAATCCTGCGACACAGGCTTGGTTCTCGCCTTTATGCCCCCCTTTCTTTGATGGCGTTCCTCGCCAAATCTTCCGATGTATCCGTTGGTTGTAAGGAGCCATCGGATATAAAGTAATGGTTTAGAAGAACGAAACACGGTTAACTTCTTTGCAGCGATACCCGAAAGTGTAAAGTGGTCTGAGATGTTCGACCCAGACATCCGAGTCGCTGTGTTGAGCGGACAGCCTTTGTGAATCAGGAGACTCGAACACTAGAACAAAAATTCAATAAGATGTATTTATGAGGCCCCACCTGATGGACACAATACTGTTGGGGTTACGGTCAGGGGTAGGGATTGCAGTTAGGGTTAGGTGTTATGGTTATGAGTTCGGGTTAGGGGCTAGGGCAACTATCTCCCAACCACTCAGAGTACAACCGCGCTTTCCCAATAGCTCTCCTTTTCCATCCAACTACTTGATCTCGTCGCCTGTGCACTCCCCGGCCCCAGCTGTAAAAACCCCCTATTATCACCGGTCCCGACGTTTAGGATACATCCTCGGACCCATCGCCAGAGTCAACAGCAAATAAGGATGGTACACTGGTTATACAGCCGCGTCCCTATCAAAACTAGCGGCTCCCCTCCCCCCCCGATGCTCGTGCATAGTGCGAGGGTTGCGTAGTCGTTCACACCAGTGTTTCGTTAGAAGGTCTTATTGATTGGGATGATAAGGACCCTGTCACCAGAACCAGTAATCACACGCGCGTCCCGATCTGACTGATAATTCTTCCTAGAGCGCTCCAGATGGCAGGGGAAGGTGGGGGGGGGGCGTGGGTGACCAGTACTCACGGGCACGCATTCCACTTGAATGATCGTTCATCCTAGGCAAGGCCTGAGCGCTTCAGATGGCTGGGGGGGTAAGCATCGTGCCTGTGATGCAATGTAAACTTGGTGAACTCACTTGAATCCATCGTCAGAGACAGTGGCAGAAAAGGGTGACTCGTGCACAGGAAGTTGCAGTATTTATAGGATGCAGTCACTATGTTGCCGCATACATATAGCAATTAACCGCGATCCCCTTCATCAAGGATTGTTGCCCGCTGTTGCGCTAATGGCTTGATGGCCGGCATGCAAGTTTTTAATTGCCGAAATGTCATCACCAGTGTTGGATGCTGGCGTGATGATTGCTCGGCCATCTGGCTCACCGGCTTGCGTGCTCCCCGACTGTTCAATTAATTTGGCCAGCCTATGCCTCAGCACGGAATATGGAGCGGCCCATTCGACGAGACCCGGCCACGCATTCAAGTTCGATGAGGCCGAAATTCCCGCGAGAAGGGATGATCGCGTGAGCCGCAAGTTGCTTGAGCCATGGTTTACGGGACCTCAGTCTATCAACAAGTGCAACGATATCCCAACTCCATATTCCGTGCTGAGGCATAGGCTGGCCAAAGTAATTGACCACTCGGGGCAATAACAACTTGCATGCAGGTCACCAAGCCACTAGCGCACAAGGGGACAACAATCCTTGATGGAGAGGAGCGCGGTTAATTGCTGTAGGTATGCGGTAGCATAGCGACTGCATCCTATAAATACTGCAACTCCCTGTGCACGAGTCACCCTTTTCTGCCACTGTCTCTGATGATGGATTCAAGTGAGAATCCGAAACGTCAGGCCAGTAAACCCCTTGTTCCAGCGATCGCTTCTTCTTCTTCTGATCAACTGGTTCCTAGAACTCGTATCTTCGCTTGTATCGGCCCTACCCGATTCTCTTAGGGTAGAGTCGACCACAAGAGCAACAGCATCGTAGGCACTACGCTTGGTCTTATATGCAAATTGTAAGGGATCCGAAAAACTGGAAGTGAATGGCTTTAAACTAACCGAGACAACTTGTTCAGTGATTGATGTTGCTGGCGGAGAATACGGCGCGGCGCTTAGCGATGACAGTGATCTGTGTGAGCTTTATTAAAAGCCGCCCGAGTTCACCTCTGGTAGTCCTGACATCGTCATGCCACCGAGCCAGCTACCTCCGGTCTTTTTGACTCTACTTTGACACTGGACGCAGGAGGCGACATCAGCAACGGGACAGTAGGAGGTGAAGTAGATGCTTCGAAAGTCGCGCGCAAGTCACCGGCGCTGCGCCCACTCAGTGCGGCCTCGCGATCGAAGTCGCCGTTTTTAGGACGACGTATGAGATACAACTTACCTGATGTAGTCAGCTAGCAGGCAAATTACATGCGTCTGCTAAACTCAGCACAGCTTCCCCGACGGGACATGGGTTGTATTGCTGTGTTGGGTAGTCTCGTTGGTTGTTAAAATTAACACAAGTAAAGCCGGACCGCGAATGCGGCGTGCTGAAAAAAATAGCCGTAATGAACATGTTCAATTTGATTACCGCATTTTTGGTTACGGGAAGCGTGAAACGTAGGCAGCATTGTTTGACGAAGCACTGAGCTGTCATCTGAAAGCCCGGAAATATTCGAGAGTGACTGCGCATTTAGGCAGAAGTTTCTGACAATTGCTTTTGAAGTCTCTGTTTGCTGAGTGGTCGCGTGCGTACCAGTCGGAATACGGAAACCCTGTCTTGCCTTGAAACTTATCGGTCTTGAGTCCAGTTGAGAATGGACAATCGGCGCAGAAAATGAAACAGGAGAGACCGCGATGTCAACATTCGATATCAACTTGCATCCGGACTGAGGGACCCGGCGGTCTAAGTGTCCGCCAAACACATTTACTCGGCTGTTCTAGACGCCATAGACAGGTCTCTTGTCCCCAAGACAGTGACGCACTTCCGGTTTCACGTCAAGGCACAGTTTACCTACACGCACGCACGCACACGCTGGCTATCCGCCCACGCATGGCTCACTCACTAGGTCGGATTCCTCTGCCTGTCTGTTACGTCTGTCATTCATAGTCCACGTCCTCGGAGGACCAGTCTGACTCGCTTAATTGCGGGACGCCTGATCTCCCCCACCTCCCCCCCCACCTCTTGAACCAATCAACACCTCTAGATAGGCTTTGAGCCTGCTTGAACAGGCACAGACAGAATGCAGCTTAGGCCGCTTCAGCTCCGGGTGTCTTCTACACCTGTGGCCCACTGTTCGTTCGGCTGAACCCTACAGCAGCAGCAGCAGCAGCAGCAGCAGCAGCAGCAGCAGCAGCAGCAGCAGCAGCAGCAGCAGCAGCAGCAGCAGCAGCAGCAGCAGCAGCAGCAGCAGCAGCAGCAGCAGCAGCAGCAGCAGTAGCAGCAGCAGCAGCAGCAGCAGCAGCAGCAGCAGCAGCGGTGAGGCAGAAGAGCGATTATATTTCGAAAGATCTACAGAAGGTGGGCTAACTCATGAAATGCCAACCGAAATTCCGAAATGAGTTTTCGTTTCGAAAAGATTAATTAAGGAGGGTTGTAAAACTAATCAGCCTGCAATACAATTCTATGATATTTAAGTTACCTCAGGATGCCGGGTTTCGAATGAACTTCCTTCCGGCTGCATGCAAAACCCACACTCTGTAAAAAATGACTACCTACGTACCATGAATTCTTGTCATTGATTTTAGATGCCACTAAAAGTCCAACTATATTTCATGGAAAACATGCATAAAAATATTCATTCCTTCGCTCATTCGGTAGACAATTGGGTTTCCTTCCAATCTTATACTCGAAGCAGAGGCACGATTCGGTTTTAAAAAGGTTCTAATTGTGGGACTTTTAAATACCGTGAAATGGCCGTTCATAAATGGACATATCTCTGCATTTACCAATGCGGACTGTAAAGTTAACAACATGGATCAAATTCACGGCTTAACTTTATGAACCCTGTATGATCCCCCTTTATCACCGTAGATAAATGTGTGGCTTTCATACGCGGTAAATATACAGCTTGTAGTTTTAAAACTCTGAATCCAAGCTTAACGGTAGAGCAGGCTCAAACTTATTCGGGAAGTGGAAATGTTTTTGAAAACCGTATTATACCCTTTATTCGAGTATAAGATTGGAAGAAGACGTAACTGTCTACCGAATGAGAAAATAGTGAATATTTTTATGCGTGTTTTGCATGAACTATAATTGTACGTTTAGGAGCATCGAAAGTCAATGAGAAAAATTCACGTTAATTAAGTAGTCGTTTTTTACAGAGTGTAGTATTTGCATGCAGCCGGGAGGAAGTTCATTCCAAAGCCGGTATCCTAAGGCAACTTATTTATTATAGAATTATTCATATTGACCCAACTGTGAAAAACTCGGCGCCTTGGTGGGATTCGAACCCACGCAGTAAGGGGAAGGCTTTAGCGCAGCCAACGCTCTAACCACCTGAGCTACGAGGCCCCGCCGGACGACGCGAGTTTAATCACATTTGGGTCAAGTTATCCGCCCAACCTACTGCAACGTCTGGAATCCACCAAATCTGATACAGTAAGTTGACTGCCCAAGCAGGATTTCCTAAGTAATTCACCTAGAATCCACCAGATGACTACCAGGCTCGCGTAATTCATTGATGTTTTGGCAGATTTTTGAATTATTCATATTGACCCAAATGTGATTAAACTCGCGTCGTCCGGCGGGGCCTCGTAGCTCAGGTGGTTAGAGCGTTGGCTGCGCTAAAGCCTTCCCCTTACTGCGTGGGTTCGAATCCCACCAAGGCGCCGAGTTTTTCACAGTTGGGTCAATATGAATAATTCAAAAATCTGCCAAAACATCAATGTATTATAGAATTATTCTGCAAGCTGACCAGTTTTACAACCCTACGTAGTTAATCTTTTCGAAACGAAAACGCATTTCTGAATTTCGGTTGACATTTCATGAGTTAGCCCACCTACTGTGCTACTCCGCGGGCCGTCCTTGAGAAGCACTGCTGGACTTTTGAAAATACTTCGTGAATTTGCATTATCTGATGTATTGTGACTGCAGTTCTGAAGTGGAGATTTCAATTTCTCCCTGGATTTCCAGGTTTATAACCTTCGTTGGGCCGCGTTATAGCTAACTGGTGAACCGCTGCAGGCAAAATCCATCCAGCTCAACCTATCCTTGTGATTATCGATTCTGGCGACGGTTACGTGCCGTGAATGCTTACAGACCTCCACCGGAGTTCACGGCCCTCATTGGGAGTATTTCGGAGTGGCTGGGGGACTGAGCGTCCGGCTTCCACGTTCCCGTGGCGTCTCAGTCACCTGATGCGCGTGATGAGGGCCAGGCGGCGTGTGTGTGGCACGCGTAGACGTCCCATTTGGCTACAATCTCTGATTTTTCAGCAGGTAACCTTCAGAAACTTCTATTGCAGTGACCTCCCTATTGGAGAACTCCGAGAAAATCGCTTTTGTTTCAAAAACCTCATGCCGAAGAAAAACAAGTTGGGGAAAATTACGCCACGTTCGCTTAGAACCATTTTTGTTAATAAAACCAAACGCGTTGAATAATTCGTGAATTAGTGGATGCTGGAGGGCATTTGTTTAACTGCAGGCCAAGAGGCTTTCTTTAAACGCTATTCTGCTGTTCTGTTCTATTTACCATGTAATTTGCTTAAATAGACTCCATGGATTTGTGAAAATGAATTTGCTCTTTCTACAAGAGCTTTCGGGTTTTCATATTTGCGTTTGTCTTAAGGAAATAATTGTTTTTTCGTAATTTACCACTTCTTTTGATATTTGTTTCGTGATCTCAGTTAACTGGAAGTCTTTTCACGTTAATTTATGCTTTGTTCGATGCATGTGGACTGCACTGTGGACTGCATGCAGCCGAAAAGAATTGTAAGAATACGTCATTGCTTACTGAATGAGCAAAAGATTAAATATTTTTATGCATGCTTTCCAGGAAATATAATTAGATTTTTAAGGGCGTCAAAACTCAATGAGAAAAATTCATGCTACCTAAGTGGCCATTTTTGCTGGGTGTGTTTTTTGCATGCAACCGATGAGACGTTCGTTCGAAAGCCGGCGTCCTGAGACATTAGCATAGATTTATTATTTACTATTATTCGGTCGTCTGAGCATTGTCTTGCGTTCAGAGCAAAGTGGCTGATGGAGGAGAGGAAGAGAATACGGTAAGTGCTATGCAAGTCCGCTCCACTGTAAACTGATTGATGTGCAAGTTACTGGTGCCGCATCCACTCTGTCCGTCACGCGATGGACGTAGTCGCTTGCGATGGTCGAAAAAAATAACAAAAACAACTTAGCTACGTGTACGCGCCAATCTTTTTGCTTCTTTCATGGTCCTTTTTTTCCCTGTCCAGTGTTTTTCCACACTGTCCCGACCAAGCTGCCGTTGTGTAATTCTGGACTTTGTCATCGTTTGAGGTTTCCGCTTAGATTTGGTTTTACGTCCCTGAAGGTTTTTTTTTGAAATTTCCGGACAGACAGCGGACACCGGAGCTTATGGAAGACTGCAGACGCCGCAGAATAGGAAAGATACAGAGTGGGGGTTTCAAAAGTAGTAGGGAACATCCTCCCACAATAATTAATATTCGTTTGTGTACAAGCGCTTGAGTAGTCACCGTCACGACGAAGTTTGTAGCGCGTAGTCTCAAAAATGCTCATTTCAGTCGTCTGCCAATTTTCTGTCAACCACCGACTATCGCAGCTGCGTCAGGCAGCGGCACAAGATCGGCGAAACACGGGTGTCTGGGCTTTAATTTCTACCTGTGTTGTCAGTACGGCAAATAATTGAACAATTCTATACTACTGGCTGCCCTACTGACGGTTTGTGAGTATTACGCGGTTATTACGCAGTGGATGGTGGATTTCGGCTGAAGTATTCATATCAAATTTTGGACCGTGCCTGAAAAGGTCTGTTCCGAAGAATTTACTCCAAGTTCGCGCATTAATTTCCTTGGAAATTAAAAAAGGCTGAGTGAAACTGGAGCTCATATACCAGAAAACACACGGGGAAGGCTGTGGACCTACTGATGAGCCAAATCATTCGCAGCTGCGTCAAGCAGCGGCACATGATCGGCGAAGCACGCGTCTGGGCTTGTATTTTCTACCTGTGTTTTAAGTACGGTAGGCAATTGTCCAATCTTATAAATTCTTTCAGATGCCCCAGCAAAATGTACAAAAGTACTGTGATTTCTCATTTCACAGGAAGTTTTTTTGGTCTTCTTTGGAGTTCCCATTCCTGAAGTCTTTTTGTGGCGTTCACATAATTACAGAACGTGACCTATCTCATGAAATCTGATAACCGAAATTGATGCGAGAATTTCTAGACGTCTTTAGTTTTACGCACTTTGTTCGCTCATCCACATCCTTCAATGAAATGTCATTTTCTTGTACAGAAATTGTGTTTACATAGTTATATCAAATAAAATATCAGTAAATTTTAGCGAAAATGGACGTTGGAATATGTTTGTGCAATTTCCTATGCTAATACATGTCCTAGATTCCAGTTACGCATCTGGGCAATTTTTTCACTGAACGGATAGTAATTTATCCCCGAAAGTGTTAATAAACAGATTTAGCCGGACTATAAATTTTATTTCATGTCCGATGTTGACCATGGTTATCAATCTCCTAACAAAAAGGTTAGTTAAAAAAAACCAGACATTTTATCAATTCCGAAATGTCAAATTAGCAGATCTGTGCGAATTGGTGCCCTAAAGTGCAATAATAACGCAGATAGAGATTCCTTCGTTTAAGTGGGCTGAAATGTTTTTGTCGTATGGAAAAGTCTACCTGATTTCACATAGATGACCACCACGGAATGGTCATTTCCAACTTTATACATATGACACATGACACACTACTTTTCTAGTATTTTAGCTTCTGTGCATACTTTTCCAGAAATGGAACGAGCAAAACCTGTTTAGTTTCATCGAAATATCAGTATTTGTATGGACGCTCTGCCATGCATTCATAATCGAAGAACGGAGTCTAAAAGCGAGCAAAAACAGTGGAAATGGCCTCAATGTATAGAGAAAGGCATGTTCTTGCGTTTACGGTAGAAAAGTATTAGTGTTGCTTATGAACGTGAAAAAAACCGTCAAAAGTGTCGAATTTTTACTTGGCCTCACCGTGCAAAAATGCAAAGTACACAGAGATCCGTCAACGCAGTGCAGTAATAAAGCACTTCCTAAAGAGGTAACTTATTTGGAAAGGTTTTCTTATTGATGCAAGGCATATTCGTTGGTGACTTTCATTGTGGACAGTCATTTTTCTCGAAAATGAAGTTTGATGTTTGAATGAATATATAAATGTGACCCAAACGACCATCTTCGTAAAAATGAGTGCCCGAACGCTCACTAGTTCAGTAACTGCCTTCAAGAATAATCTTATTTTAAAGTTCTCAACAGACAGGTAATTCAAAATCTGTCTTTACGGACGATCGGGTGAAAACACTGAAAATCATGAGGTATTTAGCAATATTTCGAGGCCGATCTGAAACTCGCGTAGTCCAGAACGAAAGAAGAGTGTAAATTAATTTAACGCAAGAAAAGTTCTCTCTATAAACACAAAATGGTATGTTTACGATCAAGCCTGTCAGTTCTATTTAAACTTATTAGGCACCGACCGGCCTCATGGCATGTCACCTTATGAAGACCTTTGATCCTACGACGTCCCCATCGGCGAGATCAAGCAAAATCCAGCTTTTCTCGTTGAACTCCATCTCATTTAACTTGAAACCGTTAATGAAATTATGAAACACTGGAAAACTGTTTTGGAATCTACACCCATGATGTAGGTAGTTGACAAACCGTCATGTATGTCTTAGACTCCGGTTACGCATCTGAACGACATTTTCATTGAAGGGATAGTAATTTAACCGCGGGAGTTTTGATAAATGAATTCAGTCGAACTCGAAAACTTATTTTACCTCCGATGTTAACCATGGAAATCAACATGCTAATACAAAGGTTATTTTAAGAAGACCAGAGGTTTTATTAATTTCTAAATGTCAAATAAGCAGATCTGTGCGATCTGGTGCCCTAAAGTGCAATAATAACGCAGATAGAGATTCCTTCGTTTAAGTGGGCTGAAATGTTTTTGTCGTATGGAAAAGTCTACCTGATTTCACATAGATGACCACCACGGAATGGTCATTTCCAACTTTATACATATGACACATGACACACTACTTTTCTAGTATTTTAGCTTCTGTGCATACTTTTCCAGAAATGGAACGAGCAAAACCTGTTTAGTTTCATCGAAATATCAGTATTTGTATGGACGCTCTGCCATGCATTCATAATCGAAGAACGGAGTCTAAAAGCGAGCAAAAATAGTGGAAATGGCCTCAATGTATAGAGAAAGGCATGTTCTTGCGTTTACGGTAGAAAAGTATTAGTGTTGCTTATGAACGTGAAAAAAACCGTCAAAAGTGTCGAATTTTTACTTGGCCTCACCGTGCAAAAATGCAAAGTATACAGAGACCCGTCAACGGAGTGCAGTAATAAAGCACTTCTTAAAGAGATAACTTGTTAAGGAAGGTTTTCTTATTGATCAAAGGCAGATTCGTTGTTGTGGACAACAATGTTTCGTTCGTTGTGGACAACAATGTTTCTCGAAAATGAAGTTTGATGTTTGAATGAGTCTTCACATGTGACCCAAACGACCATCTTCGTAAAAATGAGTGCCCGAACGCTCACTAGTTCAGTAACTGCCTTCAAGAATAATCTTATTTTAAAGTTCTCAATAAACAGGTAGTTCACAATCTGTCTTGATGGACGATCGGGTGAAAGCACTGAAAATCATGAGGTATTCAGCAATATTTCGAGGCCGATCTGAAACTCGACCTAATCCGAAACGAACGAAAAGTGTAAGTTAATTTAGTGGAAGAAAGATTCTCTCCGTAAACACAGAATGGTGTGTTTACGATCACGCCTGTAAGTTCCATTTGAATTTATTTTACACCGACTGACCTCATGGCATGCCACCTTACGAAAACTTTACTTCCTACGATATTGGCATCTGTGAAATCAAGGAAAATCCATTTTCTCTTGCTGAACCCATCTCTTTTAACTCAAACGAGTCAAGGATAACGCGAAAGCCTGGAAAACTGCTTTGGAATCTACACCCAGAACGTAGGCAGTTTACAAACCGCCATATATGAAATCATACTAATTATTAAATGATATTTAGATGTAACCTTCACTAAAATACTATTATTTGACGTTATTTTATTTATACTTTCGTATTTACTACGTTTTTGACATGAGAATATATACATTACATTGAAAAAAGGAAGTTTACTAAATTACAGCCATTTCTGACGTTTTCGAGATATTGCGCTTTTCTAACGAAATCGGCATTTCTAAACAAAGCAACACTGCCTTTAATATTTTTAATGTTTTTAATTCTTTTAAACTTTCACTTAATTAACATAGACATTGGACTCGTGAAATGATGTCGGTTTGCGGGTGATTGACAATCATTCGTTTATTTCGACATATTTCATCAGTTAGGTAACGCACTGTACACTATGGTAAGGGTTTTCGATAACGACCAACACTTCATGTGCACACAGATGCACGGATTGGACCTCGTTAATGACGGTGCGTAGTCTTCTCTAAGATACATATGTGCACAGACTGCGGTACAGTAGGTGAAATAATCACTTAATCAGTTATTTTACAGATAAACACTTCAGAAACATTATACGTATTGCCCCGTATGTATACATATGTATATCGATATGTGCCCCAATGTTCAGACAGTCTAAATTACCATGTATTACCCTAGAACGATCGCTACCGTCATCAGATCGAATGATATGCGTGGGAGTTTTTGTCACACATTGATAGTCTACGACAGTGTCTCGAAACCATGTGCCTCTCAGGGCCAAAATGCAGCGTTCATCCGTCTTGAAGTCCCGTTCTGCGATTAAATACAAGCAAGCACCTGAATCCTGATGGCTTATGTGCCACTTTCATGAGTTAGGTCACTAACTGTATTTGCCTAACCCCGCATGTCCTCGGAAGCGGCCTTGTCGTCTGCAGACACGGTTAAGAAAGGCGTGCCCAGCCAGGCGGTGGATCTTCCAAAAACTGCCTAAAACTGGGTGATTCCTTTCGGTCAAGTAGGTCAGCCGTTGTTAGCCAATAGCACCACAGTCCCCAGGTGTCCCGAAATCGGGACAGATCGTACGCGCCACACTTTTGAGAGGTGCGTACGGATTGACTCGCTGCTTCGCCTTATAAAGCCACGGAAGCTCTGCACACTGATGATCAGAGAGTGATAACAGCCCTCTTTGTGGGTGAGGATGCGGGACGTCCGATGCACTTGGTCTGACAGCGAACGGCTTGATTAATAACGATAGCTCCTGGAACTCTCTCTCTGTGTGCGCGCTAGGCGCCGAAACTGTTGACAGAGCGAGAGTTAGATTCGCCAGAGAGTGCACAAACTGAGCGCCAACACAAATTCTCCGAACCAGATCTCTCTCTCTCTCGCTCTGTGTGTACGTCTGGCGCAGAGAATGTTGACGACCGGACTGCGGAAGTGCGTCTCCTGAGCCGATGGTAGACCTTGGAGCCAGCTGTGCCGTATGTCACGGGGTGCGTCGACATCTGAGATGATGAAATCCGTTTCATCAGACACTGGAAACGCCTCCTGAGTATTGAAACACATAGTAAGAAGCTCTGTTCATGTGAATGTGCACATTCTGTTGTAGGGCAGGCGTCGAGGTTCTGTCCCCTGAAATCGGACGCCAGGTGTGGAGACCGAAAGACCCAATACAGTCGGGGTGAAGGACCCCGCTTAAGTGCCGGTAGACTGTGGATCGTGTCATAGGGGAATCATGCAATTGGGGGTTTTACGGATGGAATAATACGTCACACAGAAAGATCAAGGAACGCAAGAGGACACAGAAATTGTTTGGATTTCAGCCAAAAGTCTTATTGTACGCTTTCGTATGACAACGGAAGTGGGCGCGGTAATTAAAATATTAGCAAAGAGCAAATCTCGAAAATAGCAGAGTTTGAGTAATGGTTTTGGGCATAAGAAGTGCAGTAGATGTGCTAACTCATGAAATGTTAACCGAAATTCTGAAATGGATTTTCCACTCAAAAAGATTACTCAGATAGGGTTGTAATATTGATCACCGTGCAACATAATCCCATCATAATTCAGGTACTTCAGGATGCCAGCTTTTATGCCCATATCTTTCTGACCGCCTGCAAAAACCACACACTGTAAAATAATAACTACATGTCTAATGTGAATTTTTCTCATTGATTTTCGATGCATTTGGAAATTCAAATATACGCATAGAAAACATGAATAAAATATTCATGCTTTTGCTTATTTAGCAGAAAAATGTGTTTTCTTTAAATTTCGTGCTTGAGAGAAGGATGTAATTCGGTTTTAAAAAGCCTTTTCTAATTCCTGAATAATATTGAAACCGACCTGCCGTAACATTTACATCGAGGGTTTCGAAACTACAAGCATCATTTTTCCGCGCACGGGAAATCATGCATTTCTTTACCCTGTTGAGAGGTTTATACAATATGAGCCATACTGTAAACTTAGCCAGCAACAGGCTGTTTTATGAACGGACATTTTACGATCTAAAAAATCTCGTAATTTTCAACCCTTGTAAAACCGAATCATACACTTCCGTCAAGCGTAGAATTTAAAGACGTAATTGTCTACCAAATGGGTAAAATACTGAAAATATTAATGCGTGGTTGTAACGAGATATATTTGAATTTATAAGGGTATTTAAAATCGATAGGAAAAATCACACTACTTAAGTAGTTATTTTTTTGCAGTGTGGATTTTACAGGCGACCGGAAAGAAGTTCGTACAAATGCCGGCATCCTGAAGTAACTGAATTATCATGAGATTATACTGCACACTGCTCACTATCACAACCCTGCTTAAGTAATCTTTTTGAGCGAAAAACGCATTTCAGAATTTCAGTCGACACTTTTTGAGTTAGCACATCTACTGTAATTGTTGTTGGCAGTGTAATATCTGCCTGATCGCATGAATAAAATATTCATTCTTTTGCCTATTCGGTAAAAAATTACATCTTCTTCAAATTTCATGCTTGAGAGAAGGGTACAATTCTGTTTTAAAAAGACTTTCTAATTCTTGAATTATTTTGAAGCCGACCTGCCGTTACATTTACATCCAGGGTTTCGAAACTACAAGCTACATTTTTTAGTGTACCGAAGATCATACATGTCTATACTCTGTTGAGAGGAGGCCACGTTGGGTTCATACAGTTTCGCTGTGGATTTGAGCCACACTGTAAACTTTGCAAAAAAATATTAGTAACTGCAGATACAAGGTGTTTTATGGGCGGACATTTCACGCTCTATAAAATCCCATAATTATCATCTATTTTAAATCCGAACCATACACTTCCTTCAAGCGTAAAATCTGAAGACGTAATTGTCTACCAAATGAGTAAAGTACTGAAAACATTTATGGGTGATTTCATCGAGATACACTTGAATTTATAAGGGCATCTAAAATCAAAAGGAATAATTGTACAAGGTGAGTAGTTATTTTTTGCAGAGTGGGGTTTTTATAGGCGGCCGGAAAGAAATTCGTATTAAAATCGACATCCTGAAGTAACTGAATTATTATGAGATCATGGTGAACAGTATTCAGTATTACAATTCTACTTAAGTAATCTTTTTGAGTGGAAAACTCATTTCAAAATTTCAGTTGACACTTCATGAGTTAGCACATCTACTGTAATTGCTGTTAGCAGTGTAATGTCTGCTACGGCCTGCAGATGGATGTCAAGATAAAACCCTACATGACCCGATCCACGGTCTATTAACAGTTAAGTAAGGTCCTTTACCCTTCCGTCATCTGGAGTCGTTTAGCAGATCTGGTGAACTTGTGGACAAATCGACTAAGTCGGCGAAAATTAGAGATTTCCTCAGAGATGGATGGCCGAACATGCAGCAGCAGCAGCAGCAGCAGCAGCAGCAGCAGCAGCAGCAGCAGCAGCAGCAGCAGCAGCAGCAGCAGCAGCAGCAGCAGCAGCAGCAGCAGCAGCAGCAGCAGGAAGAGGAGGAAGGACGCTAGCCTTCGGAGCGCGGCTCACTTGGCAGGACCCGATCAAACCCACAAGCTTGACGGGGTCCCAAGTGGTGACAATCGCGTGAGCCGCATGTTGTTTGAGACATACTTAGTCGGCCCAGAGTCAATTCGCAAGCGCAACGACTTTCGCATTTTGTGCTGGGACGTTGCCTTGGGGAAGAGTTTATGATCACGTGGAGAGTGCGCGTTTTGGTGGTGACCTAAAAAGCCCCGTCGCTAATTAACACCAGTGGTGTTGAAAATGCGACAGTTAACGACAGCGGCGCGGACTAATGAGCATTTGTCAATCCAATAGGAGCCCCCGGCGACGAATACAGCAGCTGCTATTTATAGCAGGTGTGTGAACGCGTGATAACTGCGTCCTATAAGTACTGCATTGCTTGTGCCCCCATAACCCTCAATGGTGTTGCCCTGGGGACTAGATGCTCTGAGGACCAGTGAAGTTTCACACAACAATTCGCGTTTGCTTGCATGCAAGGATTAGAAGAGTGAAGAGCGTAGAGGCCATATCGGACTGCGCACCGTAACAAATACCGACATTTCGAGGGTGCGGTGGCAGACCCGGCTGCCGGCAGGCGTCGCCCACACTGGGACCTCTGCCGTCCCCCATTGTTGTTATTAATGAAAAAAACCTGGTCATTTGCTGAGTGTACCAGTGAGTGTGGGGTGGAACGTCAAGGCGCGGGTTCGACCGGGCTGTGCCTTCCTCCTCGTCCGGTCTTCTTGACTCTTTCTGGACACCTGGTCCAGGCGGGGAGGAAGAGAGAGTGCGGTAGACGCTGAGAAAGTCTACCATCACCATAAAATAATTCACGTGAGAGTCGCCGTGCCTGCTGCACCTTGCTGTCATCGTCGGACTGGATTTTCGAACTGTCGCCCAATACCCAACTGGCGCGTAAAATGTTGAGTTCGAATCTTATTAGGACATTCTTAATAACTGCATAGCTCGCACGGAGAACAATTTTTCCACTGAATCTATACCCTTATTGAACTGATACACAGTATGTGACCTAATTCATGAAAAAGTGTCGAAAATTGCGAATGATTGCTAATCCCTCGCAAACCGATGCCAATGCATGCCCCAATATCTATAATGATATATAGCAACTTTGAGGAGATTAAAAGCATAAAAGAAATGCCACTGGTAAGGTTTATAAATACGAAGCTTTTTTGGAAAAGCGGAAGATCTCGAAAACGTCAAAAATAGCTGTAATTGTGTAAACTTCCTTTTTTGATGTACGGAATGTCTGTCCACGCAAAACACTAAGCACTTATGAAATTACACATAGAATAGCCTTTGAAATTAATTTGATAATGAAGTTTACATCCAAACATCTTTTAATAATTGGTGTAATTTTAGGCATGACGGCCTGCCAACAGCCTACATCCTGAGTTTAGATTACAAAACGATTTTACCAGGGTTCGTGGTATTATTTACGCTTTTGAATTGATTAAGATGCGGTCCAATAAGGCAAACAGGATTTTGCTTGAGTTCGCCGACCAGAACATCATAGGAGCAAAATCTTCGCAACGGCACGGGTTGTTAGGGGGATCAATGACTAATACATTAAAACAAAATTTACTGGTTCAAGCATAAACATGCCATTTCGTGTATACAACGAGGCCTTTTCATCAGCGGAATTAATTTGCGCTTTCCATTTGTTTTGGATTACGTTGGGTTCCAGCTCCGTCTTGAAATACCACTAAACATTCCATGATTTTCAAAGTTTAAAAACGATTGCCCATCAGGACAGATGCTGTATTATGTGTCAGTTAAAACATTAAAATAAGATACTTCTTGAGGACATTTATCGAGGTAGCCAGTATCTAGACGTTCCTTTTCATGTAGATTGTCGTTTTGGGTTGCATTTAATGACTCACCCAAACATGAAGCATCTTCGTCGAAAAAATAAGCGTCCAGTAAAAGAGTCAGCAACGAATACGACTTTGATAAGTTAGAAAATTTTATCCGATAAGTAACCTTTCTAAAGAGGGCTTAATTACAGCATTCTCTTGACGGATGTCTGTGTGTTTAACACTTTCAAATGTTGAGGCTAGAAAAGATTTTACGTTTTTTGCCGTTCCTTTCAGGTTGCTGAAAAAAACACTAACATTTTCCTACCGCAAATGTAAGAACAAGCTTTTCTCTCTATACCGTGTCCATTTTAATACCGTTGCTCACTTGTGGGCTGCGTTCAACGATTGTGAATCCATTGAGGAGTGGCCACATAAATATTGGTATTTCGCTGAAACTATTACTGTTTTGCTCGTTGCATCTCCAAATTGCGTATGTACCGAAGCTGGATCGCGCGAAAAAATGTTCCATTTGTCTAAAACTTGAAATTACCCTTAAGTGGTTGGCACTTTGGTGGCAAAATACAGAAGTTTTCCAAAAGGCAAAGCGATGTCGGTTCATCTAAACAAAAGACTGCCTGTGCGCATTATTATTGCATTTTAGGGCCCCAAATCGCACATATCTGCTAATCCGACCTTTAAAAATCGATAAAACATCTGGTTTCTTAAAATAACCTGCGCGTCAACAAGTTAGCGTCGGACGCAAAATCAAATACAGAGTGAAGCGAGCTCCGTCTGGTAAAACTCTCGTGAGCAAATTACTTTCCTTTCAAAAAAAAACACGTTCAGATGCGCACCCGAAGTCTAGGAAAGGTATGTGCATCGGAAATTGTCCCAGTATATCGCGAAGTCCATTTCCCCTCACAATTGTGAACATTTTGCTTGATAAAATTACATGAACACATTTCAGCACAAAAAAGGACATGTCCTTGAAGGGGTTGGACAAGCGAGCAAAATGCGCAATGTTTAAGACGTCCGAAAATTCTCCTATCAGTGACTGTCATCAGGTTTTATGAGATAGGTCACGTACTGTAGCTTCCCGAATGGGTCGGAGCTCTGAAAAGCGAAAGCGTGATCAGAATACAAATAAAAATAAATATACAAATAACTACTATCGAAAATCAATGTGAGAGATGTATGCCACTTAAGTAGCCATTTTTTCACCAAATGCGGTTCCTACAGGAGGTTGAAAAGAATTGCATTCAAAAGCTGACATCATGCCGAGTCCGAAATATTGTAGGATTAAGTTACAAGGTAGTCAGCATTACGTCTCCACGTAAGTAATCCTTCCTAATCGAGAATGCCTTTCAGAACATTTCGTGAGATCGATTACTTGCAGAGTCCTTCAAAAACTCACCTTATCCCACCATATCTTCTGATTTCACAGTAATAACCTGAGATCGCCCAGCGACTGCCAGATTGTTAGATTTACCAATAAGTTGGTTGTTGGCTATCGTATTAAACATCAAACCCATGTCCAGTTTCTAAAGCATAATTTGCATTATGTCTGTGCATGCTCGTTAGAAAGTGGTCTTCTACTTCACGATCGGAAGTAAGTTCTGAGTGTTTATCGATTGCATTTCTGAGTAAACTGGCATCCTTACAAACGAAGTATTATCCTTACGGTACCTCGGTGTTGCGTTGTTCTCAAATTTCTCTTTCTACCCCATGTTGAAATGCCTTTCACTGCAGTTCTTAAACTTGTTTTTTGCATTCGATGTCTACTTACCTGACACATATCTCAACCCCTGCTCTGGCGATTTATCGATGCCTGCGTTTTTCCTATCACTCTTTGCTTTTCTTCTGTAATGTTGTCCACTTTGGTTGAGAAGTGTGTGCTTATATTAGAGCGCTTTCTTTAGATGTTATCTTCTGCTGCCGGTGTTTCTTGTGTTATTTAGTTTATACCATAGTACTATGGCATTAAAAAGCCATCAAGCAATTCACTGATCGAATTCCGGGCGATATTGACCATCCTATTCACTCGGAGAAGAAGACACGATCGCTGGGACAAGAGCTTTATTAGCCTGACGTTTCGAATTCCTGATCGAACCAATCATCAGAGACAAAAGCAGATAGGGGTGGTTCATGCACAAGGTGCTGCAGTATTTACAGGATGCAGCCGCCATGCCACCGTGGCACTCCCACCCCCCCACCAGGGATCATGGCACTTAGTGAGCTGGCTGTATAATGACCGATATTCTCGCCGTTAATTGCTGCAATTTCATCAAATGTGTTGGATGTTGGTGTGATGATTGCTCGACCATCTGACGCACCGAGCCTGGCGTTGGGAAAAGTGTTCACCTGTGCTCTCCCGCGTGGCTACTTACACCGCCTAGGCGAATTCTCAGTACTGAGTATGGAAGGGGAAGATCATTACACTTGTTAATGGACTGGGGACCAGTAAACCATGACTTAAGCAGCTCCCGGCTCACGCGGTTGTCACCTCTTGCAAGAATTTCGGCCTCGTCGAATTTGAATGTGTGGCCGGATCTCGTCGAATGAGCCGCAACTTGAGAGCTGGCGACATTTCTTCGCACCGCTGCAGCGTATTCGGCCATTCGCATTCGGAGCTGTCTTCCGGTTTCTCCGACGTAGTTGCTTTGTCCACAACTGCACCTGATCCGATAAACGACTCCAGCTGTTTTTAGCCGTGGTAGTGGGTCTTTCGGTTTCATTACCAAACGCCTGATGGTTGCCTCCGGCCTGCGTACAACTCCAACCCCAAGTGGTGCGAGAAGGCGGCCGATATCTACTCTCCATACTTTTTAAAGTGCAGTAAATTCCAACTTGTTGGCAATCACCAGGTCCGGTTCCTGGCTATTACTGGGTACTGTTCGAAAGGATCGTATGTGGTACGTGTTGACGTCCCGCTTGATCAGATGTAGAAGCTATCGCTGGAACAAGGGCTTTATTGGTCTGACGTTTCTGATTCTCACTTGAACCAATCATCAGAGACATTGACAGATGCGGGTTATTCGTGCGCTCGAAGCTGCAGTATTTGTAGGATTTGGTCGCCACGCTACTGCATATCTATGATAGTTACCCGCTCTCCCCTTCATCGAGGATTGTTGCCCGCTGGTGCGGTAATTGATTGATGGCCGGCATGCAAGTTGATGAGAGGAGCTGGG